CACCTAATTTTATTGTTATGTGCTTAATCGTGCAGATGTAACTTGTGACTTTTATACTCACCAAATTTGTAAAAATGCAGTTAAAATTAGTATCTACCTTTGAGTTTTATATGTAAAAGCATATATTTCACTTCTTTCAACAACTGTCAACCATGTGTTTTTTGCCTAACAACAGGTTTTGTTTCACGTGTATCTTACAGTTATTTATTGACTATCAGAAAGGGAAAGGAAAGCAGCCATCTATTTTTACAAGTGTTTTGAAGTTATCTTAAATCATTTTAGTCAAATATTTCTTTATTTGCAAATTAGGTGCAATAAATTTTACTGTATCGTTTCTATGACGTCACAATGCCAATATGCCACAATGCCAACCGCGATGATTATCCAGGAGCCTGAAGTATTTAATTTCAGATTACAACAATTTATTTTTCAACATTTATTTTTTTCTTTTAAAAATTTAATTTCAAATTATAGCATCTAATTTTACATTCAATATTGTGTTAGAATTTATTTATTTATTTAATTTATTTAACTCTGATGAGAAGTTAAGCGAGGATCACATTACGGATTTTTCTTCGAGTGTGCCCTTCGAAATCCTCCGCGTAGAAAATGTTGTTCTTTCTACGTCGTTCGTCTCGTGTCTCTTGAGGAATGACGTTGCGGTGAATGTGGACGATCTCGGATTATTCAGTTTTCCAGCTTTTTGCAGCGTGGCGCGATATTATTGGTGCTCGTAGTCGGACTTGATCTAGATCGTTTGAAACGTGGAAGTCGAAGCATGCTTCGGCAACGAGGACATTCAGACGCCGACCTGGTTGGCCCTGATGTTGTATGCGTTATTATTGTGGGTGAATCGGCACATCGATCGTGCGAGCGCTTGTCAGTATTATCGGTCGTTAATCGATTCGATCATTAAGCGCCATATGTCTCGATACATCATTAGGAAAGCGTTTTGTAAGGCTTTTGAGAATCGGAGTCGTTGATAATCACGCTGTCAAAAATCTGATAATAATTATTGCACTCTTTGTATTCTCTCTTCGTAGAATTTTCGAAAACGTTTGTCAAGTAATTAGACATATATATCGGGAGAAAGGGTTATTTCGTTTACATAAAAAAGTATCTAATTTTATTATAATACTTTTGAGATTTCTACGAATACTTTTTTAAAAAGTTTTTTAAAAAGATTAATTTACAGATATTATCTATCTTGTGATACATTGTTAAATATCTTTCGTTCACAGAATATTCAGAGCGTGGAACAACCTGATAACACGCTACTTCTCTATCGGAGAGATCTAATTTAAATTGAAGAAATAAATAATTAGCTTTAGAATTGACTTAAATGTGTTAAGAAATCATTAAAATGTACGGAAAGTTTTAATCTTCTTTTGAATACTTAATTTCAGATTATAGCGTTTATCTAATTTTGAGCGCGATACGAATAGGTAACTGCTTTTGGTGAAAATCGGCGGTCTTACGACGTCGAAGGGTGATTCGGAAAGTAGCGTATTCGAGAAAGAGACTTTCGAAAGTCCGTCTGACTCAGGAAAGCGGGACGTGTATCGGATCCACTATCGCGAGCCCCTCGCTCTTCGCCCAAGTGAGTCCGTGTCCGAGGATTCGAACGCCCCCGTGCGCCGCGTCACCTCCACCTCTGATTACACCATGCGTGGCGTTATCGGGCAAGATCCCAGGGTCCACGCGTGGTCGGTTCGTGAGCAAAGATCAAAGGTGCTCGGGAAGCCTGCGGCGCGCGATGTAGCTCGGCGGCATGGCACGGGTTCAGTCGTTTGTCGACCGTCTCGAAGCGCGTCGCCGATCGCCTCCGCTCTCTCATTTACGCACACACCCCCGTCCGTCCCTCATCCCCGTCGGTGTCGCACAGACACGGCGTACCACACCCGCGAGTGAAAACGTGGCGGAAGGCGCGCGCGGCGCCGCGAGCGAGAGAACACTCGTGGCACCCACTCACACGTAACACGTATACGTGCGCGTGCGACACCCACATCATTCTTGAACCCACACCCTTGACTTGCACGTAGTGATAATTTCCTCTCTCGCGATCGCGCGGTGGGAAAAACGAGCGGCAGCCGGCTGGAAGCGACTCGGCGATCTCGGCGAGCAGGAAGGCGCGAGGGGAGACCGACCGTCGCCGCGAATTCATGAGGTAAGCGGCGAACCTGCTTGTTACTTTTGCTTATAAAGTGCTATGTGCACAGTGGCGAAGCAAGGATAAGTATTAAATTTTGAAAATAAGTAAATTTAGGAATAGAAATTAAACGCAAAGTGGACATAAGTAAATATAAGATATAGTTATATCTCATACTTGTGTGTCCATTTACGTTTAATCTTTATTTATAATTTTTATTTTTAAGGTTTCATATTATTTATCCCTGTTTCTTTATTGTGCGCAACGTTTAAACGATCCTCTGCCACCTGTGGGTATTAGGAGCTTTAGAGTCACTGTTGCGCGTTTTAAATTCCCTAAATTCCCTCGTCTTCGTGCAGAAATTTAAACGCTCTGCTTCGTCGATCTTGCGATTTCGTTGGATTAATTGGATCGGTCTCGTTGATATCGAGCGGAAGTACCGTATCGTAATGCTTCTTCGAAAGATTCATCATTATTTCTCTCTTCAATGTTTCGCCGACGAAACATCTGAGTCAACCGTTGCACAAACTTCCTGGCTGATGCATTTAACGAGGACTCAATGGCTGCGTTTAGTAGAAAAATAACAACTATAAAATTCTTTGATTGATTTATATATTTAGAACTGTAGAAAAAAACAAGAACCAATTATCTTAAAGAATAGATTATATATATTAAAGAATAGAAAGAATAGATTATATATATTAAAGAACCTTGTAATCGTTGCAAACCTGTTATCTCTGCTGAACGCAGCCATTATGGTTACGCTTGGTGAATCGTTTTCGTTATCGATTCGCGGTAGAATGATCCATTTCGTAAATTCATGGTCAACATCGAGCGAAATCGACGACGATTGACATCATTATCAATGAACGGAAGATTTAATTGCAAACAGAGGTGGCACCGTGCCAGTCTGCAAATATTTATAGCTCCATACAAATGCGTATCGCTATAATTAGAATTTTCCACATTCGTCATTTCACGACATTAGATGTTATAACTTGTTTGTAATTCTTGATCTCTTCAATGTAGACATGCAGGAGCGCGGTAATGGAAACATAAAATTCATACATCGATTTGGCAAAATATCTTTCGCAAAGGCTATACGATAATCATTTTCACATTTTATGCATAAAAGTGGCTGTAATCGATTGGCAGGATATCTTAACGTTTTATTGTATAAATTGTTTTACACGTACGTAATGGATAATCTTCTTGTTGTGTAGTAGAAAATATATTATGAAAATTCTTCGATATTTCTTGGAATAAAATATAGAACATAGCTTTCCATTATTTTTACAGAAATGAAATAATTTGAAACAATTACTAAATAGAAGATAGCAATATCACTTATTACTATAATCAGTCATTAAGATATTGCTAATGATCTCTTAACATATTCTAGAAGAAAAATAAAGTAGTAGTAGAACATAGCTCTTATTTCGAAAAGTTCTTATTAAAAGGTCTTATTTCGAATCGTCTTTGTTACTCTTGAATATACATGAAGACCTACAATAGCGACAGAGACATAGCTATTAGTGATGTTAATTTTCAATACAGGATGCATATTGGCCACAATGAATATCGTTTTAAAATGTTTCAATTGTGTTATATGCAAATTATTTTAATTATACAAATTAGTGTAATCTTGTTTCTATTTAATTTTCGATGAATTTAAATAGATCGATCGTTTATGTTTCCTCAGTTTGTTTTGCGAGTTATCTTTTCTTTTTTTTTTTCTTATCTATTTTGTACTATAAACAAGACGTGTTTGTCGAGCATTCGCGAATCAGTCGCAGCTGCAAATCGCGAGATTAAGTACAACGCGTAGCGTATTCGAGCCAGACGGACGTAGATGATCGCCTAGACGGAAATAATCCGTAAAGTAGTACATGGTGGTTTCATCGTTGGCCGCGCACGAGATTATTAATAATGGCGATGTAGCGTGAAATTTTCCCCCTCGTGGTCCCCCTTCCGTCAGTTCTCTTCCGCTCTTGCGGCGGTGAAACCGGTTTTTTTCAAACCGACACGACCGCCGACGATCGCAGAATTAAATTGCTCCTCTAAGTAAACATGTAATTGCGATGTACAAATCGATATCCGGATATTCTATACGCGATAATTTAATACACATTGATGAACCGCTAACTTCTCCCGATCGAGCCGTTTCTATTCAGGTCACGTGTGACCTGAGCGTAAAAACTGCAATGTCTATTTTTAACGTCTGGGAAATTATTAATATGGGAATGCATGAATGAACGTTGGTACACATATTCTGAACTACCTGACCTATTTCGATAAGAGACACAGATTTTCCCGCGTTTGAATTCGCGTGTTGTATTTTTATGTGAAGAGAATGTAGTTCTCGAGAAGCCTCGAGAAGCCTTAGCGACGGAATCGGTATCAGCGACACGATTGGCAGTAATATCGTGTCAAGTGACCTATGCGGACCTTTTCTAGATTTAATTCTGAAAATAATTCCGAAACCTGTTTATATCCAGTTAAGCAGGATTAAATACGTCGCATTACTTCGGAGTCAAATTTTTTGATAAAGTATGAAGTTTCATTTCACATAAACGGGATTTTCACGAAAAAAAATTTTCAGGGTTTTTAAACTCAAAGTTACGTTTCACGTGATGATTTCTCATTTTATCTCTCTCATTCTTTTTCTGATTGTTATCTCTGTAAAGATGTTTTTCTCAAGTACTCTCACGTACACAATACACATATGAATTTCTCTGATATCGCACTCAAACGCTATTTCGTTCGCTATCACATTCAGTTTTAGATTATCATTTGCGCGTATCCGTGACTTATTGTTAATCAAGTGGTAAATTAAAGTGTCTAATCTGGGCTTGTCTATTTACCAACTTTAACAATTGATTCAATTTGGAATCCAAAAGCAATTCAATTTACAAAGGCATTACGTGCAACATAGTGGCGTGACGAAACAAATATCTACGACGAGTAGAGAGTGTTTTCTCTCGCAATTTAATCACGGCCACAAATCAGCGCGGATAATCCACACTTGAATGATTTAATTAATTCCTCGCGTTCTGTACTTCGTTCTAAGGCGGGATTTCTCCTGATTATCATTGATGTAATGATACTCATGAATGTAATAAACTTACGTAACCGCGTGTAACGGAATAATCCGCGCTAAGGCTTTAACCGTGACTGACTAGTTACTAAAAGACGGATCAGTTATTTGACTTTTAAACAATGACTCGTGTTTGCGTCGTGATAAAAAGTCCTATTGCATATTTCAACAACGAACATCGCAAAATTTATTACTGTTTGTACAGTTTTTATATTACCGTCTTTGTTTACAGTCAATTGATATTATTTATGAAGTACACTATAGATACGCGCGCATGGGCGTGAATACAATTTTCTACAATATCCTTGAGAATATTGATCGCCTATCGCAAGAGTAATGAGTCTCCCATCAATTAACGTCGTAAGGTTACTGTCAATTTGTCAAATTGTCAACGTTTCGTCAACGCGATCCTCCCCGCGACTGATAATACAATATCGTTATTGTGCAAAATTTGAGAGTCGTTCATACAAAAAGGAGAGAAAAGTTTTTATTTGAGAAAATATTTTTTTTAAGCGACTTACGAAATATTTTCAATGATTACAGTAGATAATGCTTCGGTTCAGTTATCTTAATTAGAATACTTATTTAAAAACTCATCGTGCGTAGACGCATTTAGCATTAACGCATTCTTCTGCCTACGCCAGGAAGATAACACGAACAGATTCTGATTGAAGATAGTACAGTCATTACATAAACGACGTGACTATTGTGTAAAAATCGTTGTATTTTTTTCTTTCCTTCATTTACTCGCTTGAAGCAATGTCATCGAACAAGCTATAATTTTGATTTATATTTTACAATTATCTCTACATGAATTCATTTAGTATTTTTAACTTTAGAATAACCCAACAAAATTATTCATCCTGTAGAACATAAGTTACATTCACTTGAATATGAAAACGTTTTTGAAAAGACGATTCTATTTTGTTTTAGTTTTAGATTATATATTATGTATTATGTATTTTACAGCCAGATAAGAAGTTGGTTTACAAATTTTTTCTTATTCCACACATTTATCCATATCTTATCCTCACCTGCATTAAAGAAAAAAATTACTATATCTATTTATATTGCACTTTAACATAGTCCTTAAATTAAACAATTATCACATTTTCTTTTTCTTCTCATATCTTGTATCTCTTTTACATTATATTTTACAGTTTCTTATCGTTTTCCCAAGTTTTTATTTGTATGTTTATGTCGTCCCATATCGTATCATCTCCTTGATTCCTATTTCTCCTCCTTGCTTCTTTTTGTCTTCATAACTTTTTTAAAATGTCCCTTTTTTCCTCATCTAATTCATTATTATCATCATTGTTTTAGTTTATATACTTTTAAAATATTTATTATATGGATTTTTTATATAAAATAAATTTGAATTTACTAATTGAGGTTCTTACCGATTTATTGTTCTCGTCTGGATTAATAAGATTAGAAATGAGGAAATATAATGAAAGAATTTTTAAATAATTATATTAAAATATTTTAAACAACAGAAACCTTAACGAGTGAAAATATTACTAATTTTATTACTAATTACTAATTTTTGTATATATAGTACAAAGTTTATGAACTAGTTTTGCGATAAGTATTATCAGATAAGATAACAGCAATCATATATACGCAAATAAACATCTGTCAACATTCAAAATCGTAATAAAAATATATTTATTTGAAATGTTGACATTTTAAAAAACATGTTTCGTTAATTTTTTATGCAATCTACACTTTTAGAATTGCACATTAGGAGTTTAACAAATAGTTTATAAATATTTTTGACATGAGAAAAGGAATAATTTATTTATATCCGAGAGAAATATAAACATTGAGATTGTTGCTTTAATTTTTATCGCATTAGTTTAAATTTCTAAGAAATTAATGTGAATACAGAAATTTAGTTTAGAAAATTAAAAATAATGCAATCGAGTGATCTTCCTTTATGTATTTATGTCTTCCTATTATTTCACTATTACACCACATCACATCACAAATGCAACGACGAATGTTCGAACTGTCTTCTTTAATTCGGGTTAGGTTACAATCCTTAGAAGCTTGTTAGTGCGGTGTCGAATTATCTTGCATATGCGATTGTGTCACGTTCGCTAAATGCGTCGTGGAGGACGGATTCGTGTGCGGATATGAGTGCATCGTGGCTTATTTCTACGCGTGTAAGGTACGTGTGTGCTCGTAAAATTGGGTCAGTAGCGTTAATTCCGATACTCGTTTTGTCCAGCAAAGTTAACCAAGGTTCGGGCTTCGTAACGTTACGAAAAAGAGGATATTATATATCTGTTCGTGACTTTGAATCTATAATATCTATGATCAGCATTGTTGAAGACAGCTGACAATTTTTCGTTAGTTTAAAGAATTTTATTATTCTTTGAATGAACGTGGAAAAGCTTAGATCGATGACGTAAATGGTAGTAGTTTTCTAAAGAGGGCAATGCCTCTTTGCGATTCCCAGAGATATGTGATGATTCATAGGAACAATCGTGTTAACGTTCGTCATAATTCATATTAAAGCAAGACATCCCTTTCCTGTAGTTATTTCTCATAATTATTCAGTCACAATTATCCCGACAGAAACACCAAACATAATCTCAATCTCAATCTTTCCGTTTTTGAATTCTCTCGTAACACAAGTACTCGGACATTTTTCATTGACATAATTCCCAAAATGTAATTTGTTTAATTATTATTTTTTATAATTTTTTACAAGAATATTTTAATTATGTTTAATTATTTAATCGTTAATATTTATTAACGATTAGTATAAATGTGTACAGGATACGAAAAAGATACTTTAACTCGCGTCGATTAAAACAATTTGATTTTTGTCCAAAAGAAAAATATAACACGGCATTTACGTTGCGGTTTATTTATATCCGGCGATTCATAAACGTTAAGTGTTGAAAAGTATGTAATTGATCGCAATGCATGGCGAATGTGTATGGTGGTGACACAATGATGAATGAAGGCTACCACAATACAAGCAATGACGCAACGCGTGAAATAATGCCAGCGGATGGACCTTTATCGATATTACGAGCGTCCTTTCTGTTACATCTTTGCTCGCGTACGATATCGAACTTCGGACTCGCCGATAAAACGAGCGAGTGGAAAGAAGCCCAGACGCGCAAAACCCCCGCCGAGTTACTTTGCGCAGAATCTGATTACATATATTCAATGTTTTGAAATATAATTACTCGTGTCGGACTTTAACCCTCACGAGGATACGATGCTGATATTGGGTTTGACCTTTTCTGTGACTTGGACATATTGTAAAGATAAAGTGTTGTAGAATTAATTCAAAAAGCATACGTTAATGTTTTTGTCAGCAGTTTTTTTTTTTTAAATGTATACGTTGCATTTAGTCATCTATTTTCAGGAGATATGCAAAAAGCAACTCTGAAATATCTTCAAGATCACATTTGTAAATTTACATTTTTTTTTTCCGAGTTTTATCTGTTATTATATTTTTTCTGTAGTGAATATTTATGATATTGTGAAACATTTATGATATTTACATTTGCAAAAAATTTCCTTGACGTTTGCAATTTGCTCACCACGATTTTCCCAGTTCTTCATTTCTCATAATTATTATTCTGTCGAAATTATCACACATTTATTTTTTATTTTAGAATAATATTATGAAAAGAATTGGTAATAAATTTTATATAATTTCATGAAGTGAATTAAACGACTTGAGCGGGGGCCGCGAACGTTGTCCCCGTTCTTTGTACCGTCGATTATCGCGGATCTGAATAGTTAACTGCGTCAAGTGAACTTTGGATCGTAAGTCTTGCAAAACGAGCCGAGCACAAGGTACGCGTTTTTGCGATATTCATAACTTCTTCTTTTTTGCCTGTAAAAGTGACCAGAAGATATGACATATCGAGAAAAAAAGATATTTTGTTTACGTAAATATTTTTCATTATATTATCCCTCGCGATTATGGAGAGTCATCAATAATTATTAGCCTTATTTGTCCGTGGAAAATATTGAGTTTTTTTTTTTTTTATTCACGATCCTCTTTGTAATAATTTCTCCCTGGAAATAATGTATAATAATTTATGCAAAATCGTTTAATTGCAAATAGCGAAAAATTCCGATATTAGATTTTACGCGGATCATTTCCGATTTACTGTCGAGGGATTGAACCTTTCGGAAATCGGCTGGTCGAGCGGCGCGCCGTCATCGTCGCGCGATGCTTCACGCTCGCGTTTCGACTGCAATGCGTGCATTCCGCCGGGAATTGACACGTGCACGCGTGTATCGGGGGCAAAGTGCACTTGACCGAGTCAGTTGCCGCGCGGTTAACGGACCGTGCAGACCACGGCAGATAAACGCCGAAGGAATTCTTCGCGAACCGCGAACGTTTCGCAATACCTGGAGAATCGTAAGGGGCCGACCCGCTAATTGCCTCCTCCTCCCCGGATTCCACATCTTGCGTAAGTGTCTCTCGGGGGTATTTACGAGATGTAAATCAAACCGCTCCGCGGAGGCTTACTCATCGTTTACTAAACGAACGGAGCCGCGTGACGGATATAAATCTGACCTGTTAAGTAATGGCGTGATTACTCCTTATAGCACGAAGATTGATCGCGTGTTTCTAGTTTCTTTTAAATCGAATTTGTTATGTGTGCGCCTCGCGACGTCTCATTAACTTATGTCCAGTTTAGAATTTTCATAGATATTATTGACACGTTGAATATTGCAGAGGTGTTTTTTTTTTACATTGTTTATGTAGTCCGTTATTGCACCGTGATGCGGTTCGACTTGGCGCTTACATAATCCTTCAATGTTTTTATTACGCAATCAAATGTGAATAAACGTGTGATTATAAACATGTCTTATGAACATGTGATTAAGTAGTTTGCGTTTAAAAAAAATAAGCCGGTATAGAATATTACCATTGCAGATAATAACATTGCAGACACGCAATGTTGTTGAAAATAATCGATCAAATTTATGCACATTTCTTACTGTATTTTATTAAAATCCTTTTCCTATTTTTAGCTCCAATTTAGCTTATCACTTCAATTTCACCTTAGGTTTAGTAAATACCTTTCTCCTTATTACAAAATTAACTTTTTAATAGAATTTAAAGATAAGATATAGAAAATACTTTGTAATTTGCGGTTCTTATGAACTGCCCCGTTTAACGAGAATCTTTAATTCCGCGATAACGATCGCACGATCGCACGAAGAAAATGATCATCGAGAAAATGATCGAGAAGCAGAGGCCCTCTCGACGTATCTCTGCCGGGGCAAAAGTCGATCTCGAGGGCTTCCGTCGTCGTTATCGAGGACCATTTCGGCGATGAAGAGCGTACTCGAATGCACCTCGCATGCACTCCGGAGATTTTATTTTTTTACTAACTCTTGTCGATTTTGGGAATGGTTTTTCTTGCAGTGTCGATTAACCGCGCACAGAGAGAGGCACCCCGCCGGGTGAAGTGTCGGTCTTGGAAGTAAGAACTTACCGGAAGTAATAACGAACCGCCATCATGATCGTGGACGATAAACAGTGAGTCGTAGTGTAAACGCACACAGGATATGCCGCTGCGTAGCTCGTATATATATATATGTGTGTGTGTATACGTGTACATATGAGCCCATGCACCGCTGTGCATCGTGCATCATGCATCGCTGCGTACGCCTGCATGAGCTCTCTCTGCTGTATCTTTTATCTCGCTGTCGCTTAAACTATTATGACTCTCCGCGTCCCCGGACGCAGATGGCCCACGATGTTGAATTAGACACGTTGTGGGTCCCCCGCTCACAGGATTTTCTGAAACGTATTCGATGGACCTCGAGCTCTTTGCTTTATCTCGCCTCGTCGTAACGCTCGAGCATGTTTCTTTATGAACATTACCCTCTTTTCCATATATGTTTTACGACTTGAATCGCATCTTTCATTTATGCATTAGCTACAGCTATGTCTCTCCCTCTATATTTATATATATATATCTGCAATTATATATATATATCTGCAATTTTATTATCCTGATACTTTTGTCTTTATTTTGTTTTTTTTATTTAGAATTTCGTGTATGCATTTCGTAATTTAGCCGCTAGTTAAATGGCTAATTGCTATTTAGATCTTTCCGTTGCTTCGATTTATCTTTATTCCTGCACAATGATTTTGTTCTTAATGTTATCGGCATGCGATACATGAATCATAATTAGATTATATGATATATTAAGTACTTTATATCAAATGTGGTTGCGTGATTTTAATCTGTCATTCAAATTGATTGAACAATATGGATAAAAAAATCATTTAAAATCACATTGCTACATTTAGCACTCGTATATTTAGAAACGTATATTCTATAAGTAGATCTTTTCCATTTTTTTCTTAGAGAAATATTTAGATAATTATAAGAATAACTGTTATAAGAACGACAGCGAACACGAAGAATTCGAACAATCGATATTATTACAAGGTCGATTGTGAAAAGTATGTGTGATTTTTTTATGACAATTATTGGCGTCTGCATACAAATAAGACAATTTCAACACGATTATTGTCGTATTATATTTAGATTGAAATATTAGACCAAATTTCCATTTTTTTCGTAGCTTGCAGACCTTATTATAATTACACTTTATTTGTAAATCTTCTACGTATTTTGCATAATTATATATATTTGTGGACTGTGATGTATTAATATATCAGATAACATGGTAAAGTATGTTAATCGTTATACTATCAAGTAAACATATTATAAGTAGATTTTATCTGCAATGATTTACGTTCAGGGAAAAAAGAAGATAATTTATTTTTTACAAACTCTGCCACTTTCTTCTTCGTTCAATTTTTAATGGACACGTGATAGGAGACCGTGGAGTTAGATTGATAGTAAGGACATTATGGCTTTAACATTATGACTTCGTAAATAATTCAAAGCTTTTCCGCTTGTATACCGAAAGTAAATTAGAATAAAAGATAAACTTATTACGATTCCTTAATTGCCATAAATCAGAGAATAAATATTTTATAACATATCGATTTCTTATCAGAAGAATGAGGATAATATACGTACTTTAGCTTTGACGTAATGTATTTTATTTTTACATTTTTTTATGTAATATTATTCAACCTTTTGACTTAATTTTTTATAAAAATACTCTTGTTTTAATATATACATATAAGTAAAATTAAAAGTGTTCGTGCGAATACATCTTTAAATGTCCATTAAACGGATAACAAGAGGAATAACAAATTATTGCCAAACTCATGTCGTAAGTTCTCTTCGTTTTGTTAAACAACTTCATTTCTCGACTGCGAGGGAGAGGTTTTTACTTGACTCGTGGGAGTTTACTATGCGATATCGGTGGAAAAAGATAAACCACAAAATCTCGGTCCAACGGACGATACGCTCTGGACATTTGACCGTAAGACGACTGTTACCACACAGACTGGACCCCCTTCGTCCCCCTTCGTCCCCCTTCGACTTCCGCGATACGCACGAAACCCTTTGGACAGACACTCGACCGCAGATAAGAGCCGAGAGACCGGTTAACTTCATTCGTTCACCACGTGGACTCGCGACGTTCAAAGTCCGTAATGATATTAGAATCTCGATCGCGTGTTTCCTCGGCATTTTCCCTCAATAATTTTATCTTTATCTTAATCCTCCCAATCGTTACACAAGACACCTCCTTCAGAATCATCGAATAAAATTAGCTTGCTATAATAAAATTTAAAATCGAGATTTGATTTGACGTTTTTAAATTCGGATATATATCAGAGGCATTGAGATTGCAATTGATAGAAAAACAAGGCTTATTTAGACTTAAATTAATCTTAATATGCTTCAGTTTATTTAAATTTTATGGAGCAATTACGTTGTTTTTCTTAATCTATTTTTTTCTTTGATTGAATATCTCATTATTTTTATAAGTTAATTAATTATATAAGCATTTTATAAAATTGTTAAAAAAAAAAACAATTCAAAGACTTCTACGTATACGTCAATGTCTTTGGTCTGTTTTGTTATTTTCCTTTTATTTGTAGAATAGGATGAATTATATAATTATGAAAGAGCTGTTTCTTTTTTGCACAATTCGATTTTTAATTCTGTCGTCTCATATGTTATCGTACTTCATAGTTCATTTCTTAATGTACTCTTGTAACGAAAACGAATACATCCATTTAGTAATTGTGACAAATGGAAATTTTTTATATGTTTTATCAGTTGTTTTTATAATTTTTTATTCTCCTTACAATGCGTTTAATGAATATTTAAAAACATTCATAATACACACGAACTTTGAACATTATATGAATATTTATATCTGCACAAATCTACGTTCTTTTTATATGTACAATAATGAAGTCATAAAAATAAAAAATTACTCGCAGTTTGTATTGTAATTAGTTTTTATGTAACGTCGCAACTACGATACGTTATTTATATATTGATTATTTTGTTTCCTTGTGCGATAATGAAAGAAACGAGATAAATTATAATAAGTAGTAATAAACTAATAAGGTTTCTTGAAACTATTTTTATTAAAATTATTTATTGAGATAGAGTTAACTTGTTGACGAAAAAAAAAAATGTAAAATTTTTTGCTCTCTCTTGTCAATCGAATAATATCAATCGAAGCTTGCGTCATTATCATTTTAGGTCGAATCGCAGAATTAAATGTTATAAATATCACAATTGGTGACATAACTCGTGTTTGCTTCTCGCTTATATCGTATATATCGAGTTGTTCGCTGCATTGTGATATCGCCTGGTCGGTACATACGATCAATAGGCAAGCAAAATCAGAAGAACTTGATTAATAACCATATTGTAGCGTGAAGTAACTATTGACCTAACTATACGGCGTAGGGAGAGAGGGGCGGAATAAGTACCTCGTGTAAAGTTCAGGGATGGATATATCGCGAATACGATATGGCGCAATCAATAATGGAATAAAAAGGAGTCGTCCGAACCGATATGTAAGTCCACTAATCTAAATTGACTTCGTGGCTCAGCGCTTTATCGGAATCCAACTTGACCCCGCGAAATCCGCGATCAAAGTGGACATGAAATTAATTTTTCAGGTTTATCTTCTTCCTAAAGATACAAATAACAAAATTTATCATTTATAAATATATTATAAAATTATCACTTTCGCGCAGTATAATGCAAATTTCTTGTAGTTGCATAAATTATCTGATGAAAACAAGAGAGATTTATCCAAATTTTTTCCCTTAAAATTAATTATATGTTATATTTTATATTATTGCATGCAGCAAAATGTCCGAGTGAATATTGGGTGAAATATTGATTAGATTGATGTTGAAACATATTTTAAGATATCTTAACGTAAAAACATTTTGTTAACGTGCGAAGTATTTTTTTTTTTATTAGTGGACCGAAAATCAATCGCCGATACCTATGTCACATGCGGCGTTAAGAGAGATATAGTTGAGTGATTTTTGCACTTACCTTGATTAAGTAGAGACGTATTTTTTATTACAGCACTCTGACACTTCCAAGCGATATGCGCTAGAGAAGACAGACCAATTAAACGGTACGCTTCTCTAGTTCTTCGCTGTAGGAGTACGATTACATTCTTTTAATTGTTGATGCGAATGTTGATACGTGTATTTCGATTGAACTTGTATCTTATTGTTCATTTCAATGGCTTGTTATCCTATCACTTTATCGATCTTGATAGATATGTTGTATCGCTAAAAAGTGCTTCCTCTTTCTTTTCTACGCACGTATCATGTTAAGTGTCACATCGAATGCGGCCATGCTGCAAAAAGTAGATAAAAGGTATCTTAAATTTGCCGGTAGAAGTCCACAAAAAAATTTTAATGATTATAATTGTTGCTTACCAATCGCTTATCCCGCCTATATATGATAATGCTTAATTATTATTGATTCGAATTGTATTGCAAGAACGCATGACCTCGGATGATAGCCTTTACTCATTCACGCTTCGAAATTGCTTACTCGAGTAAATAATTTATTTGGTATACGGATAACCAGAACATGATATTGTGATACCCGATAAAATGATTTTTCAGCAGTGTAGATAAATAATGTTTAAACTTTGTATCTTTTCTGCAACGATCGAATTATATAATTATAGTAATTATATAATTACGATAATTTTCCTTCTTTTCGAGGGTATTTAAAAATAAAGAAAATCTATTTCAATGTTATCGATCTAATAATTTCAAATTTTTATATTTTGTTATATTTATAATCCTATATTTATAATTATATTTGTTAATTTTTTACTCCCAAATCTGACAGGCACCGAATATTATTTTCTGATGTAAATGAAATTATATTAAATACGAATATTTGAGCGGTTCTTTTATTTAATAGGGAAATGGAAGGTTTCTGGATCAGCGGGGCGATCCATGCGATCAAGGCTCTGTCGTACGTGTACGACTTGCTGACCTTCCCTGTGTACCTTATACTCCAGCGACCATGGGAGAAGCGTAAGGCCTCGAGAAGGATCAAGGCCCGTCCGATCCTCAAAGATGATAATCAGATCACTTACAGAAGCGTCGACTCCCCGGGACCGATGCACATCATGCTCGAGCGCGAAAAGGTTGATACTCTGGAAAAGGTGCTTCTCTGGGTCACCAAAATGCACGGCGACAAGAGGTGTCTTGGTACCAGGCAAATCTTAGCAGAGGAGGATGAGCCTCAACCTAACGGCAGAATCTTCAAGAAGGTAAAATATTCGGAAGTGTGTAAAAATGAATTTAACATTTTTAATATAGGAAAATTATATAGGAATGAGCTATATTGATATCTGTATATTTTTTATCATAGTACTTATTTAATGTCAACATCGAAAGAAGGCTAATTTTGTGAAATTCCATCTGTTTTTTCAGTACAAAATGGGAGAGTACAAATGGAAGTCTTTTAATGACGTCGAAAGATTGGCAGCTTCTTTCGGTAGAGGTTTGGTAGAACTCGGTATGAAGCCACGTAAGAACATCGTTATTTTCGCCGAGACAAGAGCGGAATGGATGATAGCGGCGCATTCGTGTTTCAAGCAAAATTTTATTGTGGTGACAATTTATGCAACCTTGGGCGACGAAGCTATTGCTCATGGTATCAACGAAACTGAAGTGGACACTGTCATTACCAGCCATGAACTTTTGCCAAAATTCAAACGATTGTTGGACATGGTACCGGAAGTCAAAACAATTATCTACATGGAAGATCAACTCAAACCGACTATCACCACGGGTTACAAGGTATATTTCAAATATTAATTTTTAATATGAATTCATGGAGTAAAATTGTAAAATTCATAAGTACGTTTAAAATTTTTATCCATATAATTTCTTTTAAATAATTATGTAACAATATTGACAATGATTATAACTACTTCGAAAAGTTAATTATTCAAATAACCGGTTATTAGACGCATCGGATCAGTTCCTTTATTTCTTTTTAGAAACTTGTTTTTACCTAATAGCTATGGCATTAACTGTAGTTGATTATGATTATGCCATTTACATAATCGCCGATGTGTCAGTACTGCTTTTGACTATTTGATACATCACTTTCTTGAGGTTTTAAAATATTTTTTATCGCTTTTGTTTTAGGATGGAGTGCGATTAGTACCCTTCTCCGATGTCATCAAAATGGGCAATAGCTCAACCGCGAGTGCTAATTCGCCAAAGAGTGATGATACCGCTATAATTATGTATACATCTGGTTCGACCGGGATACCGAAAGGCGTTCTTCTGTCTCATAAGAATATTATATCCACTCTGAAAGCATTCTGCGATGCTGTACAGATCTATTCGGACGACGTTTTTCTGGGTTTCTTGCCATTGGCTCATGTCTTTGAATTATTGGCTGAGAGTGTCTGTCTTTTAAGTGGAGTGCCCATTGGTTATAGCTCACCGCTTACATTGATCGATTCGAGTAGTAAGATACAGAGAGGATCAAAGGGAGATGCTTCCGTTCTACATCCAACTTGTTTAACTGCAGTACCAGTAAGTATTTTTGTAAATTATTCTATTTCTTTATTTAAATCTTTTACGTAAGAAGGAAATTATTCTCTTACTAATTATTTTATCCAATGCTTCACTCATAAAAAAATATGGAAAACTATTTCAAATATATGATTTTTTTTTATTTGCAAATTTTGTCCCTTATTTTGATCTAAGTTTTATAAGTGCGAAAAAGAGTACTGGCGAATATAAAATTCTTTGTTTCAGCTCATTCTCGATCGTATCTCCAAAGGAATAAATGAGAAAGTGAAGAAATCTGGTCCATTTAGGCAAGCCATCTTCAATTTTGCATACGAATACAAATTAAAATGGACGAAACGAGGCTATGAGACGCCTCTCTTTGATAAGTACATCTTTGGAGCCGCAAAACAAGTGCTCGGCGGTCGCATTAGGCTTGTTCTTTGCGGAGGCGCTCCGCTCAGTCCAGACACTCATAATCAAATAAAACTTTGCCTATGCGTCACCGTAACTCAAGGATATGGTCTCACAGAAACAACTTCTTGCGCAACCGTTATGGATAGTATGTATTTGTGAACTATAAAACATATTTGACATATTCACGTTGTTATATAATACATTTCTGTTTTCAGTGCATGATAGAACTACCGGAAGAGTCGGAGCACCTACTACAATTTGCGATATTCGATTGGAGAATTGGGAAGAAGCCGGCTACCGAGTTAAAGATCATCCACATCCTAGAGGAGAGATTGTGATCGGTGGTGATATAGTTTCCGCAGGTTATTACAAATTGCCGGATAAAACGAAAGAAGACTTCTTCCAGGAGGATGGTAGACAATGGTTCCGAACAGGTGATATTGGCGAAATTCATCCCGATGGTTCCATCATGATCATTGGTACGTTGTAAAGAATACGGCGAGAATACTTTTTATTTCTGTAAGACAGGTATAATATTCACCTGTCATTATTTTGATATTTTTTGATAATAGATGTCTGTTTACAGATCGAAAGAAGGACCTGGTTAAATTGCAACTAGGCGAATACGTTTCTTTGGGTAAAGTCGAGTCTGAATTGAAGACCTGCCCTGTTGTAGAGAACATCTGCGTTTATGGCGATGCAAATAAAGCGTACACAGTGGCGTTGGTCGTACCTAATCAACATTACTTGGAGGAAATTGCTAATAACCTAGATATAACTGGAAAGACTCTTGAGGAACTTTGTAGCAATCCACAGATCGAGAAAGCGGTACTCCAAGAACTTGTTGAGCAAGCGAAAAAATGTACGTTTCTACATATTTGTGATTATTATTTTATCATTTTGTCTTAATAGAATTTATTAACATAATTATCTCTCGCTTATAGGTAAGCTCCAAAGATTTGAAATACCAGGTGCGGTGAAATTATGCGCAGAACAATGGTCGCCCGACATGGGTTTGGTTACTGCCGCATTCAAACTAAAGAGGAAAGCAGTTCAAGAACGTTATCAACACGAAATTAACAGAATGTATGCCTCGTGATGTTCCGCCATAGGATGCACTAAGTGCTGCGCGTAACGGGGATATAGACCTAAGAAATCACTTTGTCCAACAGACGGTACCTCGATAATTCATAGATACATATAAATTGTGTCGTAAATTCACACTGGTTACGTGATACGTACCAAACTCGTGGCAATTGCGTGTGCAATAATAAATGATAGTTCTGATGTGTCAATATTCGACAAATCAAATTATCATTAATTCGGATAACGGAGCCAAGAAAATCATTTGAAGAATGTTGAGATTTTTTGATCCAAAAATGAAAGTATCACTTTTTGATGACATTTCTTCATCGGGTCTTCCGAGCATGATTGATTTTTCGCGAATTTTCATCGATATCGATTGTTACACACGAATTAAGTATTCGAGTGACATAGAACCGATGGAATTTTTTGTATATCACATTATGTATTATATAACTTTACGTACGTGTTATCGAGGGCAGATGGATTTCCTGTAAAATTATATCGTAGCGCGAATATTGGAAAAGATAAATAGTACAAGATTTTCTGATAGGAAAATTGTTGTCGTCCTATTCTCCCTGTCTTCATTTTTAATTACATCATTAATTTGTTATTTTATTAGTGCATCCAATTGTTGGTGTTATCGGGACAGTCATGATATCTTCGCGAAAACGAGCTGATTTGGATGAAATTTACAACTCGTACGGTGTACTTATTTTAAGTGTTGTTCAAAATCGTCGAGTTTGGTCTTCGAGGAGAGGATTTGAAACGGGTCTTCTGAAATAATTCGTTTTATTACGAATAAATATATTATGTGTATATATAGAAAAAAAAATGAAAATCGAGGCTGTATGTGTTCGGCACGTATAGATAAATTCAAGGCAATTTTAATAATAATATCTTGTGTATATTAAAATTTCTCTCATCGCTACTACCACTTAGCATTATACTCTTATACCGTCTGTCTAGCAATTCGTCGACATACTTTTCGTCGTCTGCCTACTTTTTGAAACATTAATTCAAACATCAGAAGATTTCTCCCAACAGAGTATTTTTGTGTATATGCGTATGTGTGAGTATATGCGCGCGTGGATGTTTAATTTTCATTAATGATGCTTGTATGCATATATATGTCCATAATAAGAAAAGATTAGGGAATAAAAACATATGTGAGCTTATAAAAAAATCATGTTTGCAAATATATAATTGTTCTTTATATTTGTTAATTTTTTGATGTGTGTGTCTCTGACGGTTCGAATCGTACGACCGAATTCATATTTATATATTAAAATATTTTAAAAAATAAATATATTATTGCCTACATGATTTGCCTAAAATTTTGATTACATATGATGAGAAATCAATTTTCGAAATTTGCTATGTGTACGTAATGATGCGCGTATTTTTTTCTATATTTATACAAAATGTTAACATATACTACACCGATTTATATTCTCTTTATTCGCGTGCATATTCCGGTATGAATACGAGCCGACAGAGAAAACAGTACAGTGTCCTGGAAACTGTACATACAAGATTTTGTCGCGTAAGATGTGCAAGTAGCAATTAAGTTAATATGTGCGTTCACACATACCGACACAAAAGCTTAATGTTTTTCTTCTGTTTCATTTTACGGAAACAAAAGGAGCGGGAGCTAGTGAGAGCTAATTCAAGAGCAGCTCACGTTTGTTTCATTTGCCACGAGAGTTCCTGCGGTAGCTAAATACATGAGAGTTGGTACTAATCTCTATTAATTATTAAGCGCTGTACACATTACTTAAGTAGGCGTGGTCAATTGTTTGGTGTTATGGCATCAAAAGTTACAATTATTATTACTATGATTATTAGCAATTATTATTTGAGAATAATTTGCAAAATAAATGTACAAAGATGTATATCGCTGACTTGAACGTCATTGCAATACATCTCTCTTATTACTTCCACTTCCATTTCCTAGATAATTATCAATTTAAATTCCTAATAATTGAATAAAAAACGGACGTTAATTAATGAATTTTTGAATAAGTTATTCCCCATTTTAATTATGCATATCAATGAATCTTCAATAGTTTAATTCGCAATTTCTGTGATCTGTGTGTTCTGAGATCATTTTTTAAGACTATTTAAAATAAATGATACGTGTGGAGCGAGAAAACATGATATAGAGTTGAGTGATACAATAGTTTATTCATTATAAATGCACAATTGAAGAAGTACGTCATTGTTACATCGATCTATCAAGTTGGTCATTTGTAGTAGACGTAATATGGAATGCCATCCTCTTTCTACTTTCAGTAGATATTACAAACTATCAAGTATATACGATCGTGTGCGTAGTGCCGCGTTTAAATACATGCTATATTAAAATCTGTAAAATATACATACATTCCTATATATATATGCGCTACGCACCGGATATTAATGCGAGTTCTCTTTTCTTGACGATTACAAAATACATACATACATACATACATATACGTCTAAAGTCCACGAGACAGTGGATTGCACGCGTGAGGAACATTTAGCTTCTTTATGTGCGAGGTCACCGGTTGTTAAGATAATTCGTTTGAATTAATGATTCCGCCAATGATAACTGGGTCTTCCTCATGGTTCTGATGGATCAAATGCAAAGATCCATTTATTATTCACAAAGTAGGAATTTCATGATTCAAACAGTAGGAAACTTTAAACAATGGCTACGGCAACTTTTTATTTGTGTCAAAGTAAATATATAAAAATTCAATATTAAAAATTATTCAAAAACAAATTAATTTAGCCTATTTATTAGCGATTTATTAGTTTCTATCAGATTGCAGTGTTTAATTGCCGTGTGATGCTGAAAAAATAATTTGCCAATTTGAACTTGTGAATCAGTTACACCCACATTTATGCCAGCTATAAAAAAACGAACGAGAAAAACGATGTTATTAATATCGTTCTTTTTTATATCTGAAGATAAAGCGGATCACTCGTGACTCGTTGACCGTCGTGTATTTTTACAGATGACGAATATAAATTTTTACACGTGTAAAGAATATTTTTATTTTTATAATTTTTAAATCTGAAGATAAAGCGGATCACTCGTGACTCGTTGACCGTCGTGTATTTTTACAGATGACGAATATAAATTTTTACACGTGTAAAGAATATTTTTATTTTTATTTATTATCTTTTGGTAACCGGCCGCTTCGCACTTATTAAATCCTGATGGCATTACCTACACATTTTTTTAGTCACGTCACAACAATTTACATATATAACTCTAACACAAAGAGTCTTCCAAGGCTGTTGACCACGAAATACTTTTCAAAAATTGCTGTAAATTTATTTATACACATCTCTTTTGCATATATAAGAGCGTCTCGCTGTTATAAATTTGAAATCGATCTTTATGGAAGACCAATATTTGTTATAAGCTCTTAATTTTCAAGAGCAGGCTTCTTGCGTTAATTATGCGAAAAACTTTTCAATTTTTATCTCGTGGAGAACACGCTATGGGAAAACCCTGTTCTAACAACAAATACCCGTTGCTTTATAATAGTTCTAAAAGTCGATATCCCTTCTGATCGAGGCCCGAATGTAATCTGAGCTTTGAAATATATTCTCTAGAGTTTGGTCAGGAATCTTACGTTATATTGAATTTTTTTATACTGAATTAATGACGGCCTCGCATAGTTACGCGCACGTATCTAAGTACTTCATTAATTACATAAATAGATGAAGTCGAAGTTGTCTAATGATGGTGCATCTACCCGATAGAGAAAATCATTCCGGACATATTACGGCGCTCGTAAGAAAGCGCCTGAGATGAGTTAAGATGAGTATTCGAAGTTGGTGTTGCTTTCGACCCCAGACGTTTGTTTCCGCTGTAAATATTTTCGTACAACACTCACACTTCGCGATCGTTCAATTTATGATGTCGTGAGTTCTCATTGAGTAACGCGATTTGCATCATGAAAATATTTTGATGAAAATTACATCTTTTAGTATCGCATCAGGTATTTCGTAGCCTTTCGTTTGACGAGAAACGAGAAATTCTCTCTGCATTCAAATATTACAATCAAATGTTCTTTTATAGGATTAATAAGATCTAAAGTTTAAATCGTATTAAAAATTAGCATTTTTAAAGCGTGGTCTGTATAATTAATTATTTTTAATAAAATTTAATAAAATATGTTTCCTTAACAATAATAATCTTTCTTTAAATATTTGCTCGAGACTGAGGAAAATGTTACACGAAGCGTAATTAAAACTTCTAATGGTACAATTAAGATAAGACAATAATAAGGCCGATGAGAATCAGCACTGTAACGGTGCGCAAATTATATGTTTAACTACGTCTACCTTATTATTTATGTTAATCTTAACTATGTTTATTAATAAAAAGTGCCAAACGCTTCTACTCGAATTTGAAGTCAAACGATCGACACTTTTCATTAATAAACCATAGTATATAATTTGCACAATCGTTAACAATGCTGATTTCTCATTAGCCATTTATATAATCCATATCGTCCATTATTATAATATCGAGAATCTTTTTCTGTTAATATTTATAATCAAGATTGTTCGGAGAATCGCGTTATAAATAAGTACGACGGAGTGCACTCTTCGCAGAGAAATAAGAAATAACGTAACGTTTGACGGAAATGCATGGCATTGGAGACTACCGTCAGTTGCAAGAGATGGTCCAATAATGCGAAGTGCTATCGAAGTATCGACCGAAGTGGGAAGGCGTGTCGGAGAACGATCTCCGAAGAAGTTAAGCGATTTTCTCTAGTCGCCGGAAGCAGGCAGCGGGATGAAACAAGGCGGGATTGAAACTTGTTCGTAACGCACACGCCGTGATATAAATGGATATCGAAATTTTTAGGTAAGTTAATTTACGGTAATGACGGCTGACGGCGAGAGAATTAACCAGCTTGAAGGATTCAGTCGGTCTCCTTTGCGCTTCCTCCGCGATTGCGGAGATAAATTTAGAACTAGCCTTAGGAGGAGGAAGAGAAGTAAAGATTCCCTAATAAGCGTTATCCCTTCCGAATAGGAATCTGACGCTTGTAATTTAACGGCACGATAAAGGATCTAACCGCGTGACCTGTGAAAATGCTCGTAATACGTAATAGTCGTAAATCACTGCACTTTCAGCGAGAATTTTCTGCTCGGGAACACTCCGATGAGACACTTTGGCTGCGTTCGGATTCCTCATACGGATGCTTTCTTTCTCTCTTTATCTCACTCTTGTATCTCTTTCACTCCAATGCAGCGAGTTCACTCGGGTGAAGAATCGGAGCGCAGCCTTTCATTTGTCCGAGGGTGAAAACGCCGAATGAGTAATGAAAATGATTCCGGGGGATATCATCCGCATTCGCGATGAGGATACCCGGACAATTATCTGAAAGACGTAGAAAAGACGTGTGTGAGGAATGCCTTAATCTTTTAAATTACCTCTTTCTTTGGTGTTACTCGGGCGAACGTCTCGTATACTGAATTAAAGCTCCTTTATGGACCTTGTTAACACTTCCGGCATTACATTTCCGCGCGAGAGGAGCATTACATTTGCAATTAATAATACACCATAAAATAATTATCATGTAAAATATTATATTATATGTCATTGATTATTATATATACGCTTTGTGTGAAAGTAAAATTATTATTACACATTATTCGTGAGTCCTTTGAAAAATATTAATAATTCACGCCTGAGACGAAAATAGATGAATTAAAAAGCAGAATGCATTATATGAAATTGCGATAATACTCTTCGAAGCTTGAAAATTAAAATTGAAAATGACATGATGTCTGATGAAAAATAACATTTTTTTCTTTTATTTTGTCCTCTTGTCTATTTTAATTGCAAGCAATCGTTTTAATTCAAATTCGAAAACCGATATCTTTCTTTCGAATAAAAGTCGATTTACCTCAATTTTGTTTCCTCTTTCAAAGAAATTAGAATGATGGAAAGCGTGCTATAAATTTTACTTATGTTCTGTATGTGATTGAGTAGTCGCTCCCTAATTGCCATTTACTTTATCTGTACAGTGCACTTTAACTAGCACTGGCATCTCGTTGTGTCGCCTTTTAGAAACGTTTTAACACCGGAAAGCTCTTTCCGAGGACACACGTAGAGGCGCGAATGAGAATAATGGTCCATTGACTACACGCTCATACGCACGCACCCCCCCCCCCCCCACACACACACACACACACACACATTATGTTACCATCTAGATACCAAGCTCGGGTGCGTTTGGAAGAAATCACAATTTGTTGAACGTCGGAGAGCTACTCGTGGTGTATCTCGGATAATCACAATGGGACGCTACTATAAATCTATGCTGGACTACTCGTCCCCATTTTAAGATAAGAGTTTCCATAGTCTTTAAGCCTTTAAGGCAATGCCACTCTTCTCTCTTTCCTTTTCAACGTGCGTAATGGCGCGAAAGTTGCTCTCTCTCTTCTTTTCAGGAAAAGCCCCCGACAGCGATAATCCTGTGACGCGTGATATCGCCATAACGCGCCCCGCGAATGAGATACTAAACGTGTTCCAAAGAGCGTATATATACCGGTGATAAAACGTGAAATAACTTTATACGTTCGAACTTTATATTTCGAAGAAATTTAAAATCGATCTTTTCGCCAGATCAGATAAACCGTAATATCCCGTCGTGCTTCTATGATTTAATGACGCGCGCGTGACATAGTTTTCCTCTTCTGCATTTCTATCTCGACCTCTTCAAGTTTCAGTTTCAATGAGAAAATCCTCTCGATCTTTTTAATGCCTCCTTTTTTTTGTTGCGAGCAACTTCCTTGTGGAGGAGTCGGAGATTTTTGTCATAATCTCCGGATTTTCAATTTTCCCAATGCAAATCCGTTTTCCGTGCGCGACATCACGTTAACGTGAAGGAAAGCATGCATTTTCTTTTTTTTTTTTTTTTTAGTTTTACGTTCATTCCATATTCCGCTCCGTAATTTTCGTGCAGCTTCCGAGGCTTTTCCTGCGGAAAGGCATGAGAGAATTCAGACGGTGATATAGTAAGCCCGCGGTTTACCCCTTGACGTGGTCGGACTGAAAAGGATTCCTGGTGTCGTCGGGCTAAATGACCAGGACGCCCATGAGGGCGGTGGAAACATACGTCAGGACGTGTAGTAACCTTCGTGCCGCTTACGACACTTTTCACGAGCGATGTAGCACAGCGCTATGGTGATCAAGATCGCTATGGTGATCCCCATGCCTATGCTGATCCAAATGATCTCCTCGTTTATACCACTGTAGCCCTTTCCTGAAATGATACTGGATTTATCATCTCGCGCTTGTGCCTCCCGTATCCATTACATTTAAATATCAAATGGCATTCCTTCCCCACGAGCGAGGAAATTTTTACGAACCCTCTTGTATATATTATGTTACGTACTGGTGCTGTATACACCATGGAATTTATTGAAGATTAATTATAATAGAATTTTAAAGTTTTGAGAGAAAAATTTTATCGACAAAGTTAAACTGAATATTTTATAGTAAGTTTTATTATTATTTATATTATATTTTAAGTAGTGATACATTGCGAGTGAATTTATAATCAAAATTTGAAGATTTAATTGGCAAGTACGATTTACGAAAATTTTATTTTCATAGCTTTTATATTGCTTTTTCACTTGTCAAGCTTACATAAATTGATTTATAGGAAACTTGAAGTACGATTTATGAAAATTTTATTTTTATAGCCGTTGCTTCTATTTGCCAATTTCGGTTAGAAATGATTTATAGAAACGAAACTTGAAAATGCGATTTATGATTGAATATAAATCACATTTTTATGTCTGTCAATCAGGTTCTGATATTTTTAAAATCTCGATTATAGATATAATCTTATCTATTACTATTTATGAATTAGCTTTATGAAAACGCCGATAAAATTTTTTTCTCATACTCATAATCATATTCTTCCATATTGCCTTAATCTCTCTGGCCTCTTATGTTTAAATCCGTCTTATCTGTTCTTAAGTCATTTTTATAATTTAAGATCTAATTTTTCGCTTGTCATAGTAAATATGTCTACCTCATTTCAAAATAAGACCGTGGAAGATCGACTTAGGAAGATTAAGAAAAGCACAGCATAAAACTACGGGATGTCTCATGACCATTACATCTTAATATTTCAGGGAGTAATTAGCTTCAACATTTTAATATAAATATGTTGAAAATGCGGTAGTTTTTGAATTATTAACAATCGAAATTATCATATTACATTACGTAAAATTTGCTTACTCGAATATACGTATGTATTTATAAATAAATGCGTATATATATATATATATGTATCAATTTATTATTTGCATTTATATATTATTGGTTTTCACAGTTTAAATTACATATTGAGTTTTATTATTTAAATAATTTTTGCTCTTAGTACTACATTTAATCTTAAATGTTCGCTTTGAACAATCTATAATCTACGTTAAAATTCAGGTCAGAATTTCATTTAAAATTTTATATACCGTATATATTGATTGTGTACGTACACGTGTTCCCTGTATTTTTATGTGTGCTTTGTATACGTGTTTATTCTGATTCTTCAAGCGCTTTTCATATTTTCCAGAACATAGAATTACAAATAACATTCCGCCATGAATTACTCATCATCTAAAATTCTACGTGTAAATACCACATACATAGCAATCAACTGCTATTGACGAATTGATTATCGATAGCTAATTTAACTACCACATGTAAATTATTTAATACTCCCGTTTTTAATAAAGACAAAATTGATTATCATGTAACGAACCTGTGAAAAGAACACAAAATTAAAGATAATGAAATTAACCTTTAATTAATTAGAATCTTTAATTAGATAAATTTTATAATTCGAAATATAAAAAAATATCAAACGTACGGTTAAAATTTTGTATTCAATAATGAACCTTTTATTTCTAATAAAAAAAATTTTTCAATCTTTTCAATCTGAAGAAATTAATCGTCACGAAATGAATGAGACAGTATGCAGAATTGAAGATAAGTTATCTTCAATCAGATAAGCCGTCTAATTTGTAACGTAAGGGAAACTTTTCGAGTTTGCCATTATTTCGCAAAACGTAAAATATTTTGTATTCCACACGCGTCCTTCGCGCGGTTTGTTTAAAGGTGTAAATCGATAGCGCGTTATGTGTTGTGTATACAAAGTCGCTATCATTTGCATACCGACACTCGAACTGATAGGTACATCTCGTCGTGTTATCTCACGAAACACAACCACGCCGGAGCACCGAAAAGCCCCAAACGCAATCGTTCTCTATGAATAATGAATTCAACCGCGCGATTGGACGCCGATGATTAACGACTTAACTATGTCTACTTAGTGCTCGCAATACTCTTGAGTATCCTTTGCCTTTGAAGATGAAACGATCTGAAAAGTGTCGGGAGCATGAAATTGAACATATCTTTAAGTTATACGGTTTCTGTATTGAAGCAACTATTTTTTTGTAATTTGTTTGTTTAGTGTAATAATTGTAACAATAGAGACAAGAATCGTAAATAATTTTTAAATAATCTCTAAATATAAATTATCTTTATCTTTTGCAACATTTTCGAGGGATGATATTTAAAAGGCAAATACATTTCGTATTTGATATGCAAATATATTTCGGATTGTGCTTGGATTTGTATGTACGATGCTTTGAGTGTTATTTGTTTATGAAGAACAAGAGTGTGGAATGTGATGTAGATGTGATCGCGCGCGCACGAATAAATTGAATAATGAAAAGCCAAGATGCAAACGGTTTGTTACTAATTTTCGTAAAATTAATGTATCGTGAAGTGCATTGCGCGTAAGTTTATATATTTTTGAGTGATATATCACGATTATTGGCTATTGATTCGTGTCATACGATATTGCCGATATTGGATACAATTTGAGGAAGCGAAAGGGAAGAAGCTCTGGGAGGCAAGCGGAGCCATAAGATATGTAACTTATTTTTTATTGTTTATATGTAATTTTTTGCGGAATTAATTGTTTATTCCATATCTTCTTTAATTCGAAAATTAAATACTTTAAAATAATATATGATTTAGTATGAAATATAAGTATAATTTTTTAATGTATATATTTTTTTAAAAGATTTTTTTTAAAAGATAAATAATAATTCAATATGCGCAGTAAATGTATGTTGAAATATTGATTATTTTGAATGCTTTTTAATGTAATAAATATGTTTATATTGTATAAGTCAACTCGTCTGTTACAACTTTGCTGCTACACATTGGTGTGAGTGCTAAATTACTTTTTATTTTAATCTTATGGCAATAAATTTGTGAAAATCATATTAGACATATGAGAATTATATGAAAGATGTACAAAAAAAAATTGGTGAAAAATTATACAGTGAAAAATTAAAAGCTCTTTTTATAATTGGTTTGTAATTAATATGCAAACATTTATAAAAAAAATTTGTATTTATAAGAGATGTAACAACAAAATGAAAACATATTTTATATTTTTTAAAGTATTATTATTTGATAATTAAATTTCTATCTATGATGATGATCATGTTTAATAAAAAATTAAAACTTTTTACATTTAATAACATTAAATGTAAAAATATTATAAAGAAGAATTTAATACATCTCATAAATTTATTATCTTGAAGTGGATAGATAATAACTAATTGATATAAATATTTAATTTTATATAATGCATAGTTGTATGTTGATATATTGCACCATAAAGATACACACGAAGTTAAATTACAAAAAAATTATAAAATAGAACTTATCATTATTCGTGCATCATTTGAATGTTTTCAACAAACATTGTACCTTTTTGCATATTTGTTATTATTTTTAATAAAAATCACATCAATTTTATCTTATATGAGTGGATAATCTATTCATTTATATTTATTGATAATTTTTTTTATATTACTCAAAAAATAAGATAACGTGAGACTTATAATAAATATTTCATCGCACGTAAGAAGTTTTTATATAGAATATTTTAGAATTAATCGATTATATGTCAGTATAGTTAAAATAAGTTTTATAAAATTTTATAAAAAATGTTTAATACTAAAGCGATTTCTTATATATCGTATTGAAATTAATATTGGAAATATAACAATGAGAGAGAGAGGGAGAGAGAGAGAGAGAGAGAGAGAGAGAGAGAGAGAGGAATTCATAAAAATTGCGAAAATGAAATATGAAATATTCATATCATTCTCGGTATTGATTATACAAAGAATCTATTATCCATTTTAAATCTTATAACATTTTTGATTAAGAATTATCAAACATGGCATGTTTAATTTTGAACAAGAGAAATTGATTGAAGTTTCTTTTGGTTAATGAACCTGTTCATACATTCATATCTCATTTTGCTTCATCCAGTGTGTTTATTTCTCAAAAATTGCTAAAAAATGTTAATCAGTCGTAAATTAATATAAATTATAATATAAATAGCATGTAATAATAATATAAGAATGATAAAAAAATTTTAATATAATAAAATAAAAATTTATATAACATGTTAATATAATAAAATTATAACATAATAATACAGAATTTTATATCTGAATAAGTTAAAATTTAACAAATCTAAATAGTTTAATTGAGTAAATAATCAATCAAGTGAATAATTTCAAACGGCGTATGAATTTCTGTTTGATTCTGTCGAATGATTCTAAAGCAAACTACAAATTTCTTATTACCTGCGGTGAAAAAGTCATTATTATATTGTAAACTCAAGCGGTTTTTATCTTCGCGCAATTTAACTCTTGTTATTTGACACGCTTGAAAGCGTTTCTTTTGTACCATTACGATAACGACGACGAATTTTACTTTTATTATCGACAAAATTGTAGTCATACCAGTGCTTATATAATGCTTAAAATTTAACTGTGGAATGTTAGAGAAAATTAGAATTTTGCAAGATATTTTTTATCGTTTTAAAGTATTTTAAAATTCGTATCTTAATTCGTATCTTAAAGAATAATGCATTTTTTTCATTCTGCATAAATATTTTAACGCTTCCCTAAACTCTAAATATTACTGAAATAGAATAGATAAACCTTAAAACTCTGATGCTGATGGTAATAAGCGAACTTTTCTCTCGTAGCTTTTTCTCTCTGTACAGAATTTTTCTACAGGGAACCATATAACAATACCCGCTTTTTAAATACGAACGGCAGAGTTAAAATAAATCACGAAGGCAAAAATTTAAAAAACAAGAACGAGTTTTTAATATTTTATATTAATAATGTATTTGCACGAAAAAGATATATAAAGAATATAATGGAAATATTGAATGATATCAATGAAAATAATATATGCGATAAAGGTAGAATTTGAATTTTCGCAAATGTTGCATGAAATTTTATTCTTACATTTTATACAATAAAAAACGCTAATTTTGTTTAATTTTTGAAACTATCATAATATCGAAATTCTCTCATAATGTTTTAACTAATTCATCTAATGCTAATTAATCTCTATTAATATATATTATTAATAGAGATTAATTAGCATTAGATGAATTAGTTAAATATAGCTATGTATTATTAAAATGCTGATTATGGGACATCCTCAACTTAGTTTTTATGCTTTCCGCAGTTTGAATGTGACGATGTCACATTAATCTTTTTGCCAAATTTTATAAAGAGAAATTACCATTTTCAATTTTGGTAATGATATTACCTCTTTGACGATTTTTACTTTATTGATCGATTTGAGTTGTAGAGTCAATCAAAAGTAATTCGCGCTGCTCCAATCTTCCCCAAGTCTGTGCTCACAAAGATCGATAAGTCATTTGAAAACGATATTCCACAATTTGGAGAAAATCCAGTATAAATAGGTGCTGGAGACATAGAGAAATTTTATTTGTAAATTAAGGACGGTCTTTGCTGGCAGCTGGCCCAGGGTCAACATTTTCGTAAATTTCACAGTGTGTCCGGTAAACATTAGCGCAATTCTGGTGGCGTTATTGATTTTGTCAACAATTTCATATGCCGCCAAAAATGCGCCGTGTGTTTGACCATTTACGTCGGAATTCATATAATATCATGCGATAGAACGTCTCGCGCAGTTGTGTGACGTTATAGTGGCGTAATAAAATGAAAACTCAGTTTGCATTCGAATCTTGCATATATTTGGCAAAGATAAATTGAAAACATTTATGTAAGGAGTATAGTTAATAATATCCCCTTAGCAATTCTCTCGTATAATAATCGTGCAAAATATATACCGTGAAATAATGTCTTGCGTAATTAAAGCACATAAATAATCATTACAGCCAAGCTTCTCGTAAAAAAAGAAGGTAATATTTCAAACGGCTAATAATTTCATACAAGCGGTTTGATAAATCGTAAATATAAAACATAATGATGATAAAACAATTTTAACATGTTGCAAGAAAAGACTGACATTAATACATACATTTTCCTCCTGCGCAAAAGGACTTCAGTTCACTTTCAGAAAGAAAAGAGTTTTTCGCTTTTGAAAGACATTATTAAAAAGCTAATTTTATTTACGTAGTATCATGAATATGAAACAAACAAATTACGACGAGATTAAATTATCCGCTGTGATTAGTCGCAGCACGGAAATAATACGTGTAGGAAGAAAAGTCCTCTCGGCGAATTTTGTTACAGAATTACGCCACCGATTGCCAACAATGTATTCTGCCACAATCATACCGAAGCAATTTTTACAATATATTTACATTGATATCGAAAGTACATAGTGATGACTTTACTGCAATCAACATTAAAAATTGCCTTGGTCCAATGTGGCCTCGTATATACCTAATGGAACGATATCCACATCCATATTACCATTGTAGTGAGAGCTATAGATCCCAACTTTACCCGCGACCCGTCCACCGACCGGCATATTTGTATTTTTTTCTTCTCGATTTGTCACCTGAAAGGAAAATTCTCTCACTTTATTGACGGACAAAGCCCGAAGATTAAGAATACAAACGTAGCAACGTTTCCTCTTTCTTCCACCTCACCTTCCACTTCTCTCGTATTCTTTTATATGATCTCTTTTTTACGATCCGCCGTTTTCTTCGACACTTTTCCTCTGTTATTATAAGTCCTGTCATCTCTCTTTACAAGTATAATACGATTCCTCTCTAAAGACAGTTCTTCAGTTTATTAAAATCAAATTGACGTTATTCAAATGTTTTCTATTCTCAAATGTAAACTCTATATCTTATCTGTATTAATTTTTTTTAAAAATGTATGTATTATTGATACTCGCCGAAGTTTTTACATTTTTATACATTTTGCGTTTTATGCAATCAAAATATAATTTTCTGTAACAAACGTTACGATGTAGAAAAAAAAAATTACATTATATATACATGCAATTATTTACAACTCTCTTAGAATGCATGGAAAAATGGAAATGACGGTAACTGTGTTCAAATAACGCTTTAAAGCTTCAAATTTTACCGACAACGATATTGCATTCGTTAAATATTCGTCGTGCACACACTTCAACTTTTCGCTGAACACCATTTTGATGAAAATAACGAGCGGAAGTCACGGCGTAACAAATAGAGCGGCGGAAGACTTTTACGAGTCGGTTTTTTTCCTCCGTTCGATGTCGAATTTTTCCAATGCACAATTGCAATCTTTTTTCCAATCCATTACAATTATACGATTAAGAGAATTATATTGTATCATATTAATTGTATATATATTTTGTATCATGAAAAAATCTGTAAAATACGATGTAAAGCAATAATTAAACGATCGCTAAATGCTCGTAATAATATTAAATGTACAAATGTTTGCTTGAGATAATTACAAAGTAAAAGAATAAAAAATTTTATAAAAAATTGTCACATTCATTATTCGATAAACATTTTAAAAATATTGATAAAATTAAATTTAAATAAAATTAAATCGTACTTTCGAAAGATGTTTCATATCTCTTAGGATAAATAAAAAAAACACACGATGCAGCAAATGTTGCAGACCGGCAGTAGTATTTCGCAAGAATGTATATTTTTTAGTCAATGCACATTCAGATACGATTAATATTATGCAGAAGAGTATACAGAGGTAAATTGGAAACAATAAATTCTTATAAGTCTCATATTTTCAATTTGTCATTCTTCTTTATTTATTGCTCGTGACTGTTTATCTCTACTTGGAAGAAAACGTATTTGCACGGATTATTTTTTGCTTTTTTTACTTTTCGTTTTCTCGTGGCTGACTGATGCCATCATACGCACAAAGATGCGAAGAGATATAAATCAGGGACGCAAAGGTCTCTCGGAATTTCTGGCTGTGTCATTCCCTGACTCGAAGCTTTTCACGTTAAAAAGCTGCTTTTGCAACGGCGAAGTTTTGCGGCCCTGAGGCGACGTCAGCATCGATCAAAGGATTTGCTTGTTAGCAGCACACCGATAGAAGTGAATGAGGGAGGAAGCAAGAGGGATCGTCATCCTTGTATTTCGTAAGGGTAGCATCGACATGTACCTTGGAGAGTCGAAAATAGGGTGCTTCACGCGCATCTCTTCAACCCCCGCCTAACCGCCGAACATTTTCCCCTTTGCGATCCGCACTCGAGCAAACTGAAAAAATAATTTTCATTAATTACAACGGTGCTTATACAATATAAACCTATGCGAATAAACCTACGCTTTAGATCGAACGGGCGATAACACAATGAGAATTATAGCAACATTTAGATGAAAACATAATTATTATTTTAGTGCATCTATTGTTTAACGTACCTTCATTATTATGCAACTATGGCATTGTACTATGTTAATTAATTTATGGGATTTGTGTATGTACGTTGGTGTAAATGTACATTTTGCGTTTGTTTATAATTGTAAATGTAAATGAGTATTTCATTTATTTTAAAGAATATCTAAATTATATCTTTTATCATGTAATGTAAGACAAAATCTTTACCTCACACATAAAATTTTTTCATCGTACGAATATAAAAGAGAGAAAATTGATAATACTTTGGGAAGGTGTACAAATGTTGCTGCGCTTTTCGCTTTAATAGAAAATTAGAATTCGCTATTGTAATTTGAAATTCTTTTTTCTCCGATCGCGTTGAAATTCATCACTGGTTTGAAGAATAAAGCGGAAGATGTGATCAAGCGTTCTAATACAATCTCGTGTTCTTTCAAACGCGAACGCTTCTTTAAGCTCGCCAAAAGCTGCTTCAAGGAGAAAAAGATTATTGTGAATGACTCCTCGATTTGTGATCTCCACGATCAGTTCTGTAAACACTTAACACAGACTTTTTCATTGCATTGCTAGTGATGAGACTAGAACTCTAGAAATTTTTGTTTTTCTGATTTTCTCATATAAAGAAATTTTTTTATATAATCGTAATAAAAAATATTTATGATTATATATAAAAGCTTCGCAATTTATCACTAAACATTTTTACAAGTTATCTTTTTTAATAATCGATAAAAAAAGTTTGCGTAAATATATAATGAAAAAAATTTCTTTTCATATATTTCTTCATAGATTTCTTCTTTCATATATTTCTTTTCATAGATTTTCCAATTTTCTTTACTTTTTGCAAAGAAGAACTTTATATACACATCTTGTGTAATTATTTATTTTCAATGCCTTAGATGTTTTTAACGTCGTACATATTGGTAATCTAAAAATAGAAAAAAAGAGAGGAATATTTCCTAATTTATCTTATCTCTTATCTCTTCACTGCGATAAATTTTTCGCAAGCTTTTGCTGACTTAATTTCGATCAAAGCTGTGTATATTTCTGATATTTGCCAAATATAGAACCGTCTTTGGAATCTCAGCTCGAAATTCTAGATCCGAGAAATTCTGATCCGAAATCCTTATGCCATTCTGGAATTCAAGTTTCGGTGAATATGCGTGTCGAAAATTCGAGCGCTTTTTTGCGCTAAATACGTAATTCCGCGGCCTTGGAACCTATATAAATACAGCAACATCGCGATTATTCCCCAGGCGCTTCTTAATAACGCTTTTCGCTTAAGTGAGATCAACAAGTTAGTTTCATTATACGTCGCGTACACGCGTCGCTCTCGCACGCGCTCTCGAGTGCGCGGTCCTTTGTTTTGCACAATTAAAATGAGTCTCGTCGGCATTCACCAGGCATTCATATCGGGCTGTCCAACTAGGGACAGGAAGCTTTTGTCCCGTGGAAACGTTTTGTGCGACGACCACACCACCACTGTCGAACAAGCGCGCAGTTGATGCCGCGAGTTGAGCTGCTACGCCATATCCGGCCGGGGTGTCGCGCTTTGACGCATTCGCAATTAGGCGCGATGACATCCACGTGCTCGCGGTTTATTAATTAACGACGGCGGCATTGTTTCTGGAAAGTGCGAGGTGAATTTAGCGGCGCGGTCGGCCGCGTCGAAATTGCGAGTCTCGCGGTGTCTGCGACGGGAATTGCATCGAACATGAATGCTGCGTAATCGGTTGGCCGTACACGAACC